GAAACCCTTGGTTCTGTAACTCTATTAAACGGCTTTGAGGAACGGAACACTCTTCCCAGTCACCTGGCTTGAAGCGAAGGGAACGAGAAGAAGAACCGCGGCGGCCGGCCATGTTGGAATAGTTTTTTCTGGAGCGCAAGCCGGACACTGTTCGTTGCAACAGGTACTTTGGAGTATTCGGAGATGAAACCCGCCTTGCAATGCCAAAGACAGAGCTGCACGCCGGACTCATCATCATTGAAGCCTGGTTCAAGGGCTACTAAGGGAGTCCTGGATTAGGGGGTATCCGGACAGCCGGACTATATACTTTGGCCGGACTGTTGGACCGTGAAGATACAAGACTCAAGACTTCGTCCCGTGTCTGGATGGGGCTCTCCTTTGCGTGGAAGACAAGCTTGGCGATCCGGATATTATATTTCCTTCTTTGTAACCGACTCCATGTAAACCCTAGCCCTCTCCGGTGTCTATATAAACCGGAGGGTTTAGTCCTTAGAGACAGAATCATAATCATCGTAGGCTAGCTTCTAGGGTTTAGCCTCTATGATCTCATGGTAGATCAACTCTTCCGGTGTCTAAGGAAGTAGGGTTTTACCTCCATCGAGAGGGCCCGAACCTGGGTAAAACATCGTGTCCCTTGCCTCCTGTTACCATCAGCCTTAGACACACAGATCGGGACCCCCTACCCGAGATCCGCCGGTTTTGACACCGACAGCGGCGACAACTACAACGCCTTCAGCGCGTTCTTCGACCTATAGGAAGGGCGGCGGAAGGCGGCGCAATATTTTTTTAATTATGTTTTTAGTTTTGAATTGTGTTTTAAAGTTTTTATGTACAAAAATCAATGAAATCGCCTCATATGTGTCGAATTTGGCTGAGTTTTGTTGTGTTTGGCCGATTTTGGGCGAGTTTATTTTTCAAAAAGACGACGTCTGGGTTGGGCTTGGGGCAGCGGTTGGAAAACCGACCGCCCCCACGCCTAAACTATCGCCGGCGCGCCCCCAGGCGGTGATATTTCAGGCCCCTGGGGGGTCGAACGGCCGGAGATGCTCTAAGATCTATGGAGATAGATCCAAGCTCCTAATAGGGCTAAGCTAGAGTACACATATACACAAAGTGCTGAAAGAGGTTCGGTATGGAAATGCCAAGAAGGGTTCTTGACGATGTTGCATGGGAAAATTTTGAGCAAGACTCAATGTCCTTTGACACCTGATGAGTTAGAATGCATGATTAAGATTCCATATGCATTCACGATTGTATCAAGCATGTACGCCATGATATGTAGAAGAGCAGATGTGTCATATGTTCCAAGTGTTACGGGAAGATACTAAAGTGATCCAAGTCATGGTCACTGGACAATAGTAAAAGATATTCTTAAGTACTTAAAAAGGAGTAAGGGCATGTTCCTTGTACACAATGGCGACGATCGAATAGCTCATTGTAAGGGGTTACACCAATGTTAGCTTTGTTAAAGATCTGGAGATTTTCAATCTCAATCAAGCTTTGTGTATACACTCAACGGTGGTGTGGTTAGCTATGGCAGTTTATAAAATGGAGTCCGAGTATATCGCTGCTTCAGAAGTGGCAAGGCCGGATTTTGGATAAAGAAGTTTGTCCCCAAGCTTGGTGTGGTTCCAAGCGCGTTGGATCCTACGAAACTCTATTGTGATAATAGTGAAGTGATGCCATAGCTCAGGTCAAGGAGCCAAGGTCCCGCCAGAAATCCAAACATATACAAAGCTGATTTCACATCATCCAAAAATTAGTGGAGCGTGGAGACATAAATAAATAATACATACACAGAGACCTGAATGTGTCAGATTCGTTGATGAAGCCTCTGCCACAAGCAAAGCATGAACAACCCGAATGCCATAGTTGTTAGCATTGACTAGAGTATTGACTCCAGTGTAAGTCGCAGACTCTTCGAAATATGCCCTAAAGGCAACAATAAAGTTGTTGTTGTTCCATTTCCATGTTCATGATTAAGTTTATTTTCTATGCTAGAATTGTGTTGGTTCCTGAATATGAGATTCAGAGGAAAACATAATTGCATGTGTGGAATAATAAACACCAACCGTATCTCTAGTTAGTCCTCTAGACTAGCTCATGTATTGTTGATGGTCTTGTTTTCCTGATCATGGACATTGTTAATGTAACTACGATGTCTACAATAATTAGAACACATTGTTAGGGTAACAATGATGTTGGATAGACCCACTTATGAAATATTACAAGATCACACCGTCAAAATGTTGTCAGTGTTTTCTCATAATGTGTTCACATTTACTTGTGTCCCTAGACCATGAGCCATGAGAATATCATAGACCCATATACCAGATGGTTGATTTTGGATCATCAAACGTTACTCCATAACCGGGTAATTATAAAGGTGACTTTCAGATAAGTTATGAAATATGTTGTGGTGCTAGATATGTCAAGAATTGGATTTACCCTTTCGCGATAGAGAGATACACTATGGGCCCACTCGGTTCACGGTATCCAGCATTGTCTGGCCAGGTATTGTGGCTATGGAGTTAATTAGGCTATACCTGTATACGAAAATGATAAAAAAATTACAAACCGGAAACAAGGATGACTAGGTATGGTGATCAAGGAGTTGATCACATGGATAACTTCTAAGTCTCGCCTCATGTTGTTAATGTACCGCGAGGCAAAGGGGCCTGAATGTGGTAGTGTAAGGTCCACTCGATAAAGATCTACGATAATATGTGGGAATCGTTATGGTTGTCCAGATCCCGCTCACATAACATTTTGCGACATTCAGGAATGCTACGATGTACTGGAGACTGAGATAGGAGGGTTTAGAAAGTGCTTCTAAAGATGTTGGAAGCACTCCAGAAGGTCCCGGAGAGTTTCGATGATGTTCGGAAGTGTTTCGAAAGGTATGTGAAGGTTCTATAGGGAAGATTCTAGGACATGATGGAAACTTTCAAAAATGACTGAAAGATTATGGAATGTTCCATAACATTCCGGAAGGATCATACTGGGCCGCCCCACTTGCTTGAGGGACAAGGCAACCCGGTGGGGCCAAGTCAGTCGAACCCCTCTAGGCTTGGAGGGCAAGGCAATCTAGGTGGAGTCCTGGTAGGACCCCTCTGGCGTAGGGAGGGAGGACCCCTCCTTGTTCGGCCGACCCTCCTACCCTGTTCAAAAGAATATTTATGCATGGTCGATAAGTTGCAATTTTGGAATATGAATAAGTTCGTTCAAAATGAAGTTTGAGAATCTGTTGACAATAGTTAGTTTCACAGACAAAATTCACATTTTTTTCAAGTTTATACACAATTAGCTTCCAATTAATATCTTCGTAATTTTTTAAGATGCACACGATTTTTTTGAGCCATGCATACATATTTAGTTCATTTCACTAATGTGTTAGAACCTTTTTAAATATGTCAGATCTTTCTATGTGTCATCTGAAGTAATATGGAAAGTCAAAGCTCTTTAGAATTCGTGTGTTCATCAACAAACATGTTGAGTTAATTGATGTGAACCCTTTGATTTCACAAAGAAGACGTTAGTTTGTTTAGGAAAGAGAAATACAGTAATGTGCATTGGTATCTTTTTTTTTGTCACGATCCATACAATCTTTTGGCAAAATAACAATAACAGCAAGCAATCAAAGACTGGGATTCATTACAACTCTTACCTCTCTCTAGAGGTAAGAATGACCATGGTAAACAATAGTTCTTTTTAGTAACTAAATTAGCAATTCTGTAATTAAATTGCCTTCCTGGGAAAAAGTACTTCCCCCTATAATGTAGTGAGGATTACTTGTCGTGGAAGCTGATCTTTACAATCTTTGACCAAGTTATTGGGAAAGATATCATATCGATAATACCAAATATATGTCATATGAAAATATATTCAAGATGAATTCAATGGTATAATTTTGTATTTTATATGTTGCTGATTTTTTCTATAACCTTGGTTTATGTTTACAAGGTGTCTTTTTTTGCGGAAAGGCCAAATGCCATATAGTATTAGATAAAACCAACCCTATAAGAACTTGCTTAAAAAGATTAACAAATTATTAGCAAGTCCTTGGAGAAATAAACACTTCCTTTCTTCTGCATCTACCGCCATCGTTATTGCCTCTGGGCCGCCGTCTCAGCGGAGCAACCTTGTTGAAACCCAGTAGTTTGAAAAGGCAGTGTACTGTGTCGCGGTGAGCCGTGCAAAAACTTTGCATTTGTCTCAACAAGAACCTGCTATCATTCCAGCATATGTTAGCCACAGCGAGGCGTGCAAAAACTTTGCATTTCAGAGGTAAAGATGGGGTTACCTAATAGGCATACAGATCCAGCGTGAAAGAATTCTCATGCTAAAAATGATATCCAATCAGACCTGGTGCACACTTTGAACATTGAGAAGCAGGCAAGCAGCAACCACCATGCACTTGCCTTGTGTATCTCCACATGCTTTCTACATGGCAAGCTTGCTTGCCCCATCAGTCACTAATTCCCCTGTCCCCTTTCGGTCATGTGTTGTATATCTGCATAATATGTGCCCAGTTTGTTACATACAACCTCTGCGTTTTCCACAAGAAGAGAGCCTTGTGGCTCCAAATGGTAACAGCTGAGCCACTAATCTACACTCTTAAATAATTAGTTGGGATCGACTCAGATCACTGCCCTGTCATCTTTTCCATTTCCATGAGTGGATGCTCAGATCACCCCACACCAAGTGTCCTCCGCTCTGCTCTGCTCGCACGACTCACCCAGCATTTTCCATCCGCTTTCTTCTAGCCCCATTGGCGCATCGCATGCATCACTGATTAGGTGATGGTGCACTAGCTAGCTGCGTACCTGGGATTATCCGTGTCACTCCGGGGTGCACACAGACACAGGAGCAAGGGCATATGCTCTTACTAGGTTGTTGCGCTGGCGCCTTTGGCAATGTATATATAGGGCTGCACAGCTCTCTGCTGCTAATACCTTCAGAGAGCTAGCCGCAGAAATATACGTAGTAGCAAAATCAGGATGGGTGGTGCGGGCGGCGCCAAGGCTTACGGCGCGGTGGTTCTGATCAGGGTCATGTACTCCGGCATGCATATCATGAGCAAGATAGCGCTGGATCAAGGCATGAACCCCTTCGTCTTCGTCTTCTACCGGCATACCACCGCCGCCCTGGTGCTCATCCCCATTGCTTTTGCTCTGGAGAGGTGAGATTGTTGTTTGACACCGCGCGCCTTGATCCATGTCCGTCTGCTTGCATGCCCGACTCGCTGTTTCATAACCTACTATACTTAGTATACCATGATTCTCTTGTTGCGCAGGCAAAAGACTAAACCTGTGACGTTGAGGATTGCAGGGAAGATGTTCGTACACGCCTTATATGGGTATGTTATAAGTTGTTCTAGCGTGAGTTCTAAGTATTGTGGCAGGCACATAGTTCATGCAGGAAGTGTTGTTTTGTTTCCGGAGAAAGCTTTTTTTTTTTTTTTTTGCGGGGGGTTTCCAGAGAAAGCTAATGCATGCAGGCTGTGTGGCCTAGTTGGCCAATAGTCCTGTGTGGAGAATAATCAAGCTTTGTGTACCTTTCAGTATAAATATGGGCACACACTTCCCAATCAAGTGTCCGATCGTGTGCTTTGAGATCTTCCAGTGTGCATGTATAGCACTGGATATCCAGAATTTGTGCATCTTGCTTATGCTCTCCCTGAAGCCGCTCAAATAAACTTACAACTTTCGGATTCTAAACATTTCAGCTCCATCAGTCCTAGTCTAACCTGCTTAACTTTTTCTTGTTCGATCCCAGGGTAACAGCATGTGGCGTCTTATTTAACCTTGGTCTCAACTATGCATCCGCGACATCATCTTCGGCGTTGTACAACGTTCAACCGGTGGTTACCTTCATTCTGGCGGTCATAATTGGGTAATTAATTCAAGTGTTGTTTCTGTTCTGACCTCTGCTCGATACTTGTCCTGTAACTAAGCATTCATGTTTTTTTTGGCATCAAAATAAACTAGTAGTACATGCATTCTCTGCTGGCTTACCAAATCAAAAACCGAACGATCTACACGTAACAGAGTTCAGAACATGCACTTACTAAACAAGTCTGGACGGAAAAGCTACAATGTCGGTCGGTTCCTTTCCTTCCCCTAAAGAACAAATTCCCTGTGATGTCACAGGATGGAGTCTATGAAACTGAAGAAGCTCCATGGCAACCTAAAAGTGGCAGGCATTCTCTGCTGCGTCGCCGGCGTCACGGTGCTGGCCTTCTACGAGGGGCCAATGTCCAGATCTTTCAACCATCACCGGCTCTTCCAGCACGGCAGCAGCAGCAGCAGCTCCTCCGGAGCAGGCACCTACTCCAAGAACCAGTGGGTATTTGGGATTTTCCTCATGACACTCTCCAACATTCTAGCAGGCTTGTGGACTGTGCTTCAGGTGAATATACATACACTCAAAATTCAGATTTCAGTTTTCAGAGCTTCAGACCCTGACGTGTAGGGAATAACTGCAACTTGTTGATGGTTTCTGCGCAGGGGCCACTGATAGAGGACACTTCCAAGCTTATGAATACCACGCTGCAGATCTCATGCGCGTCCGTCCAGGCCTTCGTGGTGGCTGTCGCCGCAGAGAGGGATTTCTCCAAGTGGAAGATCGGCTGGAATATTAGCCTCGCCGCTATCATCTACAGTGTACGTGTAATTGAGCCTCAGAAACAATGTTCATTTGGATATTAGTTACTGAAAGTTGATTTGCTTCTCCATGGGACACAAACATGCAGGGCGTGATCGTCACCGCGCTTTCGTACTACATGCAAATGTGGACGATCGCCAAGAGGGGGCCGGTGTTCCTCGCCATGTCCATGCCTCTCACTCTGATCTTCACAATCATCATATCGTCGTTCGTTTTAGGAGAGGCAGTTAGCCTAGGAAGGTACGTGCGCAATATAAAATGTGCAATTAAGCTCTAGTCTACAACTATATACAGTATAAGCTTAATCTTTGTGTTATTATTAACTCTCCTGAGCAGTATAATTGCTGGGATACTACTGATCGGAGGCCTGTACAACGTCCTGTGGGGGAAAAGCATGGAGAGAAAAGACGACGACACGAACAAGATGGGTGGCGGTAAACCTGGCCAGGAGGTGCAAGACAAGGAGCAGGCCCGAGTGCCGGATGATGCGGCGGCAAAGGTCTGAGCCAAGCAAGCAGTGATCGGCGATGGGACAGAAAAGATTGTGTCAGGGCATACTACTGGTTCCGGACCGTGTTGGAAAGCAACGCATGCATGCACCGTGAACTGGCGGCAGGCCAGGACGATAAGATGGGCAGTGCGCCATTGCTGTACCCACTGTCTGCCTCATGGTTTCCTTTCAAGTCTCCCGTCGATGTTGTATGTACCGAATTAATAAAACAAGTTTCAGATGCTTTCAGTGAGCTCCTATGTGGGTGGCTTCAGCACGCACTATTTTACGGACATCAGATCAGGTGCCGTTGCTTTTTGGGTCACTGCTGTGTGTTTGCCACCATGTATGTACATGATGGCCAAAGTCCTGACGGCGAAATATATTACGTACTAGTACAGTGGCTACTGATGACTGGTTAGGAATAGGATTGACAATATCTTGCGTAAACAAACAAGTAGCAAGTCAGCTCCAGATCAGTGCAAGTAAGTGGAGCACATAGGAGGAGTAATATGTATTTGCAGAAAGAAAGAATTAAGAAGCTCTCACATGCCAGTACGGATGTACGGCGACCACATTGTCGTGGTTTCACGAATCACGATGAGCCCTGCCGTGGAACAACTCGCCCACTGTTGATTGATTGAATATTAATCGGATCCTGAGTTGGAATTAGGAACTGCATCTCAGTGGAATGTTTCCCATGCCGTGTAGAAACTGGACTCGTGCATGTCATGTCAGTCGGTTACACGTCGGATCAAAAAGGCCAAGGGCGATCCAGAAGGTCGGCAGCGTTGCGTGAGCCGGTTGGGCGATGCAGTCGCGCGGGGCACGCGAAGCTGCCGCTGCCGCTCAAGATCGCGTGTGGCTTGCACTGTTGCACGGTCGGCCAACGCCGATCGAGTGCCACTGTCTGTCTACCAGCAGCTACCCCGTGTGCGGGTGCCGTGCCCGCGACCGCGCGCGCACGTCCATGCCTGTTTCCTTGTCTAGGCCGTGTCCTCCCCCTGTCTTTCCCTAGCCCCACCATCTCCATGCCACTCTTTTCTCTCCCAAAACCGTCGCGCTCCCACCCCCGCCGTCATGGCCGACGCACCGGCCGCTGTCCCGGCTGAAGCCGCACACGTCCCCAGCATGACCGTCCGCACCCGTCTTCATCTCCATCATCATCTTCGTCATCATCCCATCTCCATTCCGTTTTAATACCAACCTCCAGTGGATCCCTACGTATATTACTCTGATTTTATTATCTATGTTTGTCACCACCATTCGTATGATGCTTGCTGTCCCCATATGTGACTAATTCCCTAGTTATCGGGGATATGGATGAATCTTGAAATGTATAGGTACCGAACACTTATAATGATATGATATTCTCCGTTGACTATTTAATTTAATAGCCTTTGTGAATGTCATGAAGGGGACTCGCTTAGCGCTTCCGTCTTGTACGACCATGGAGCATATTACTATTGTTATAAAGGTTAAGATGTCGAGGTAATTCAAGGTGACGGTAAAATCCTCTCTTCCTCGCCTTTGCAATCGGGAGGAGAATAACAGAAGCCACGTCCACTAGAAACCTCTTAATTGCCGTAGTGAGAACCGAAGTGGGGAAACTACGATAGTGGCATCTGTTATACGGAGTCTACTTAGAGTAGAATGTATACTATACCAGAATATGATCAACTATAAACATCGAGTGACTCAAGTATCCAGCTTAAAACTATGCAATCACATATATTACATTAGTCACATGCCAATGGGAATTCCGGACTCTGGGAACACTTTAATCCTCTTGTTGGTTTCATTGCTTATTTACCTCGCTTCCTCTTTTACTTATTTTAAGTTATTTACTTTTGTTCACACTCTACTCAAAATTATTACAACCTTCCGCCTTCATTTTGCTTTACATATACAACTAACTTGCAGGCACGTTTCCATAAGTCTCTTTTAAGGGACAAAATTCAATTCTTGCACTCCTTGTGGTATCAATACTCTTATATTTCGAAAAGGCTACAACTAAATCATGTGCACTTGCAGGCCATCACCTACACACACAACAACATAAGGTAAAAATAATAAAATCTAATGAAATAAAGGATTATGGAATGATCATATTAAAAGGTACCAAAACTAGTAGATACGCAAAATGGGTGACGTTGTCATAGCCCAGGGGTGCCTTAAGACCCCAGAAGTTGGTCCACAAGGCCGACCCAAGAAACCTAGGCTGCTATATGGTCTGAGCCGTTAGCATGACTTGGGGACCTCGAGAAGAAATGAGCCGGCATCCTTGTAGTGCAAGACAAGGATGACAAACTGCCAGAAGATCCTTAGACTTCCTTTGAATCAACTAGGACTCTATAACCCTGGCCCCCTTCCTTTATAAGCCGGGGCTAGGCTAGTGACACACTTTTAGTCATCATCCTTCAGTGCAACTACGATCCTTGAGATCGGTCCTGTACTTTGTACAACCCATTCAATGAATACACCAAGGGCATGAGTAGGGTTTTACCTTCATAACGACGGCCTAAACCTAGCTAGGGAAGTCGTGTCTTGTTTCCCCTCTGGGATTTTTGGCTAGTCGCGTCACCCAAATGAGTGGTCACCTAGAATTCACATTGACAGTGGCAGGCCAGGCATGAGTCCTGATTGTGAGAACCTATATCCGAATGGGATGTGAAATCAATCGCGGTGCCTTCGCTCCTAGCATATGTTTGCTTTCGGCATGATGAACTTCATCACCAACTCGACGGGGCAAATCGAGCCCATCAGCACTTACAAGCCAAGCCAGACATTCTTCTTCGGGAGCCTGGAATTCGTCGCCGACTCGCACGGTGAGCTCGACCTGCGTGGCGTGGAGCCTTGTCGGGGGCAGGAGCCGGAGACGATCTTCATTAACCCACCCACCTCCCAATTCATCGCCAAGTGGAGTCACTCACTCAATGACGTCCTCGAGAAGCGTGAGGCGAAAGAGGAGGAGAGCGACGAAAGCTGCCCTGAGGCCATGTCGGTTCGTCCTCGGCCTTGGCAGGAAACTGCTTGTTATGGACAACATCGACAATGACGGGGATACCGCCAATGTTGAGGAAACCTATGAAGAGAGAAATGCGATGAACGTGAGTGTCCTGTCCAATGCCTCGTGGGTGAAGTAACTACAGTAATTGGAATCTCGAGGGGCGTGCCTGACCCTTCTGGAAACGTGATGGTGGTCAAAATTTGATGCAAGGCTGCATGCACATGCTGGCGTGCCATGCGAATAGGAGGTATGGTTGTGCCACTATCATGCAATCATCGTGTTGTCCCATTCTGTCCCATCGACAGTGGGCTCCATGACAGAAGCTATGGTCAAACACTCCCCCCCAACCCCCCGGTGCGCGCACGCAATTGACATGACATGTGGTGTGTCCATTGTGAATCCTGGTTTTGCTAACCTTCTGGAAGTTTTCGGTACGGTTTTAGTTCTGGTAATTTTGTTTTCTAGTTGTTTATTTCCAGCTTTGTCTGGTTTTACTCTTTTTTCCTTTTCCTTTTTTTGTTTTTATGTTTCTTTTTCCCTTTTTAATTTTTTTTGCAACTTTAAAAAAATGTTCAATATATTAAAAAAATGTTCGCTTTACACAAAAACTGTTCAACAATTGTTCATGTTTTATAAAAAAATTGTGTTTCCAAAAAATGTTCAGAATTTTATAACTTGTTTGTGTTATGAAAAATGTTTGGAATTAAAAAAACGAGTTTTCAAAATTTGTCGAAAATTCTAAAAAATGCATTTCAAAATTTGTTCCCACTTTTTAAAAATTGTCCCCAAGTTGTCGAAAATTGTTCGTATTCCCAAAAAATTGTTTGAGTTTTTTAAAATGTTAAAATTTGAAAACTGCTCATGATTCCAAAATTATTTACTTTTTCTAAAAAGTTTGTGTTCAAAATTTCAAATATGTGTCTAGTAATACTCCCTCCGTTCCTTTATATAAGGTGTATTTTTCTAGACATGGTAATGAAGACACATTATTTAGGGGAATGCCTAAAAAAAACCTTAACTATTTAGGCGACTAGCAACTTATTTAGAGGCAACTAATAGCTAGCAATCGAATAATATGCAGTTGAATCCTGCTACGCGGGAATAAAATTAATTGATGGGGAAGTTACGAGGCAGTCAGAAAACTTACCTGTGCTCGTGCCCTCGTGCGAACTCATCTAGGGTTCCCTGCCTCTCGCCGGTGCTAGTCAGCCTCGTTTCCTATGGTCCTTGGACCATGGAGGGACGGTGGATCCCGGCCCTTTGCTTTTAGGTGTTTTTTCTGAATTTTGTTTAGAATTTGTGCCATACTCAAGAAGACGATGTGGTGGTGGCTTTTTGAAGATGGAATAAGGTCCTCCCCGTCTACCCCCGCGCGATGATGTTTCAAGAGTCGTCGGAAGGCGTGTGAAGGTTTGCCTCCGACGGATCTCATGGGATCAGGTCGGTATTTGTCTTGGGTGGATCTGATTGGATCCGGCCTTCGTTTGTCTATGTCTGTGTGTTTGCGGATTGGATCTTTTTGATCTACGCTTCTCTTCAACATCGGCGGTTGCTATTCTGGTATGCTGGTCCTATAGGGCCTTAGGATAACGACTTCACGATTGTCTGCTACAACAATGTTTGCCCGACTCCGACGAGGGAGGGGCGATGATAGCTGCGCCTTCGGCTGGTTTCTATGCTTGTAGTTGTCGCTAGGTGGTCTACGGACCTGGATATAAATTTTACTTCTAGTGTTCTTTGTACTATCCTGACAGTAGATGAATAGATTGGAAGTTTGCTCGCAAAAAGAATAAATTAATGGGATCAAAGAGAGAGAAATGTAAATGTGTGCAATCAGGGAGAGATATTCTTTTTTAACTACCTTCCAATCAGGGAATAAGTATTACTTTTAGCGAAGGCACATACTCGATAGTGGAGGGGCAAAAACTGAGGGGGGGAAGGGAAATGCATTTTACATTGTGATATTTTTTGTGAAAAATAAATAAACCTTATATAAAGGAAGGAA